TTGCGTAAGCAAACCCTGGAAACAAGAAACATGGTTTTATGTAAATGTGCAAAGTCCGTAACTGAGCAGAAATGTTGGAAGTTTGGCGAGAGTTGTCCGGAAAAATGAATGTTGCTTGGATAAAACAAATGCATGTTTGGTTGGAAACAAGACTGTTTCTGGGTGCAAAGGCTAAACAATGTGCATGTTACACGAGTTGGAAGGCTGACTGAAACGTGTGCGTTTTGTCTGGTCTGAGTACATGTGCACCCGAGTGAATCGGGTTTTCAGCCTTCCGTAATTAAGCCTGTAATAATGATAGGGACGTTGGGTCCACGTAACATCCCCCCTTTAAGTTTGAACATACCGTTTGAGTTTCGGCACCGACCAATGATAAGGCTGCGTATGGGACCGGCCTTTTAGGGCGGAATGCCCGTTGAGCTCCGAGAGCAAGCTGTAACACGGCGCGGGTGCATGAACAGCGGCCAAGACCATCTTGGAATACTGAGGCGAACTGTCGGATGAGGTCATTGGTTTCGTCAGTTCGTACGGCCAGAGATTGTACCGCGCTGTAGATGGTTCGGAGAGGCAGATCGGCCATGCCAAGCTGTTCGAGCTAATCGAGACCAAGTAGAATGAGGTTTGCCCTGGCGATGTAGCAGATCCCGTCGAATGTGACACCTCGGAAGTAGACGGAACAATGCAGCTGCCCAGTTAGCTGCACGTGGCCACCACAGGCGCTGGTGGCGGATTGAAGGGTTGGCTGCAGTGGTGGACTACCAAGGGATCGCCAGAGTTTCTCGGAGATGATCGTGATGTCCGAAGCAGTGTCCAACTGCAAGCGGACGGTCTGGCCGTTAATCTGGACGTCGACGAACTTCCTGCGATCCGCATTGACTTGGAATGTGGTCAGCAAGCTCATGGAGCTGCCAATCGGGCCAGTGTTAGGTTTGCCTCTGGATCGTGACCTCTTCTTTTGACTGTGGGTGGGGGCCAGCCCAGGTTTGGCCCCCTTGTGCGACGTAGGATAGCAGTATCCATCACGGTGCCCCACCCTGCCACAACGTTGGCATCGATGCTGTCGGAAGTTGCAATCTCGTTGGAAATGGCCTGTACCACAGAATCGGCACGGATAGGGTGGGGACTTCGCTCGGTTGAGTTGGGAGAGCCGCTCAGAAGGTTGCGGCTTGGGGGCTGCGACCACCTGGACCAGACCAGGCGCGGAAGCGTTCTGGATCATCGCGGAATCGTGTTTCAGATTGATCAACGATTGACACTCCTCGGCCAGGTTGTGGAGTGTGATCGTACTGTCTTGCTGCAGCTTGGATAGGAGGCGCGTTCGGATGTCGGCATCATGGGCGGACCGGAGGCCAGAAATGAAAAGCAAGCACTTGAACTGGTCTTCTGTGAGCGAGCCAAGCTGGAACCGTTCGCATTCCCGATTGACGATGCCCGCGTATGTGACGAAATCATCGGCATCTCGTTTGGTCAGCTGCAGACATTGATACCGGGTGTTGAACAGCGAGGACTGTTCGCCAAAGATCTGCGACAACGTGCGGACCGTTTCACCAAAGGGAACATCGCGGGGCTTCTTTGGCAAGATGAAGTTTGTATAACGTTGGTGCTCGACCGTGCCCAGTTTGCGCAGAAGCAGCCGGACCTTCCACGCGTCAGCCTGGGAAGCCAGGTCAACGGTGAACAGATCCTCGTACCGCTTATACCAGGACTCGAAGGTAATTTGAGCGCCAGGGTCATACAGGAATTCGGAGATGCTGCTGCAGATATTGTCAACCGAAGGAGTGCTGCCCGTGGAACCTGATTGAAGGGAAGAACTGGAGAGTTTTTCCGTTAAGGCAGTCATTAAAGCAATCTGGTGCTCCAAAAGTAATTTAAACTCATTATATGCAACTGCCATGGGTTCAAATACTTCGTCGCCACTGTTGAATACTGCCTCTTGAATACGTCAGGTCCTAACAATGTGATACCAACTCTCCTAGACGGATGGACGAATGAGACTCAGAATTATTTCTCGCACGGCACGGTAACTGACAATCTCGAAGTCTGTGGGTTCTCGGAACTTAGCCGCGAAAGATTAATTCACGCGAGTCGAACAGGTTCCTAGACCGAACGCAAAGTTTCTACGCACGATTTCCCAGCCCAAGACTGAAGCAAGAACAAGACAGGCCCTTGTCACAGGCGCTTTTACAGGCCAAAGCTAAGGCGATTCTAGCGTTCTACAGCCTCATTTTTATATCACGAAACGGTGATGAAGGAGGGTTTTTCCTTGGAAGGGTTTGCTTACGCAAACCCTGGAAACAAGAAACATCGTTTTATGTAAATGTGCAAAGTCCGTAAACTGAGCAGAAATGTTGGAAGTTTGGCGAGAGTTGTCCGGAAAAATGAATGTTGCTTGGATACAACAATGCGTGTTTGGTTGGAAACAAGACTGTTTCTGGGTGGAAAGTCTAAACAATGTGCATGTTACACGAGTTGGAAGGCTGACTGAAACGTGTGCGTTTTGTCTGGTCTGAGTACATGTGCACTTGAGTAAATCGGGTTTTCAGCCTTCCATAATTAAGCCTGTAGTAATGATAGGGACGTTGGGTCCACATACTAGTCGGTAAGCGATGACACGTAAGACGTGTCAAATACGACAGTAAAGAAGTCGGAGGAGACTGAACCCAACGTGTATTGTGCAGGCTACAAGAATAGGAAGCGAATCAGACAGAGCGAGAAACGTGCAGCAAGGTACTCACCAAAACGGTTTGTGACAAAGGATGTGCAGTCAGTTAAACAAATGGACGTTTCGAAGGTTAAAACAACCATAAAATCCAATGTTACAAGATACTGAAAGAGCCTGTTTTCTGTTGCACTACAAGGGCCTCCCCCTAGAAGGCTGAAGGAGGGAAGCCTTCGATGGAGCTGTTAGTGGGGGAACGGAAGGTGAGGGTGGATGCAAATGTTTGCAGGGGCTTGAGAAGGGCTTCCAAAGTGGGGTGTAGCACATTTCGCTGGGTCCAGGCTTTTGTTAGTTTTATTTATGACGATCGTGTGGACCAGAGTGCATCATCGGTGGGCCGTCGGGGCGGGCTGGTCGGACTGCAAAAGAAACTGGCTAGTCCAGAAAAAGGCCGACAGGACCTTCCCATTGCTGCAGACCCGACGGCGCTTGGGAGGTGTCACTCCCCCCACCGCACTGTAGTCCACGGTCCTCGTCCCACGAAGAAATCCAGGCGTGCTCGTCCCACGAAGGAATACGGGCGTCCTCGTCCCACGAAGAAATCCGGCGTCCTCGTCGGCAATGCCTAAGCGGCGTTTGGGGACCAATTCGTTCGTGGATGTCTGCGATCGAGGGCGACTGTCTGTTTCTTGGGTGAGGACGGCTGGCGATTCACTCCAGGGTTGCGTTGAGCCGGTTGGCGAGTCACTCGAGGGTTGTCTGGGCAGTTCCGGCGGTTGAGTTTCTGGAAGGGGGTTGGCAAGGGTCGGGGAAGTGGCTTGACGCCGAAGAGGGAACATGGCATGTAAGATAAAATCAAATACGCTTTTTAGGTTTTTCAAAATGTTTTCGGTTTTTTTGTCGGTTTTGCAAAACGTCTGTTGGTGAGACGCAGGATAACCATTAAAGACGAAAAAGGCGTGTTAATGGAAATAGCAAACGCTTACAAAATCGGAAAAACGGACCGGACGTTTGACCTGTCTACCGCCTCGGTCGGTTGCCTGGGGTTGCGGCGGGATAGGTTGCGGATCAAGGGGTACGGAGGGATCCGGGTTATCCAGTGCTCGGGAAGTCACCACAGGTGCGGGTGCTTGTGGGAGAGCATCAGGATGGGCTGCAAGTGGCTCATCAAAGAAAGCCACTTTGAGTCGGTCGATGGACACCGTTGTTCGATGACCATTCTGGTCTATAGTAAAATGTTTCGGAGTCCGTTGCAGAACTCTGAAAGGGCCAGTGTAGGGAGGCTGGAGAGGGCGCCGCACTGCGTCGGTGCGGAGGAAGAAGTGAGTGCAGGTAGAGAGTCCGCTGTGCATTTGCACATCTCTAGTCTGTTCACGAGGCGGGGTCGGGCGTAGTGAACGCATGCGCTGAGCTAGGGATCAGCTGAAGAGTGAAGAGATCAGCTGAAGCTCATCTCAAAGAGTGGTCCGAACTTTACCTGCGCTGTGCTTCATGCCTTCTTAACGACGTGGAAATTCATGCATTAGCAAACCAGCCCATTTCAAAGCCAATTGGAACGGAGAAGCAGAGTTCATAGTGAAGCAGGCTAAGCGTCTGTAACCAAAGGCTAGAGCTACTAGCGACGACCCATACCTCATGCTACTGGAGAATCGCAACACTTACGGATATTGGTTTAATTCCAATTCAACGCCTATGCAGCCGAAAGATTAGAACTGGTGCCGGCATCTGCCACACTTATGCACCCAGTTTCGCTACAATTTGAGAGGCTACAGAACAGCCTGAACAGTCGAATGACCATTCAGTAACGGACAGTGACCGCGGTGCACAGGTAGTACCTAAGCTAACCGGGGGGGGGGGAAATTGTGAGCTCAACCATTACCAGATGGTCAAGTGCGATTGAAGTAAGCTGAGTTGCTGCGACTGTCAGTTCAGGGTCATACGAGATAAATGTCTGAAAGAAAACGTTCAGAAGATATCGAGTTCAGTTGATGCGACGCCAACAACAACAACGTGGCTTGGGAGTGGAGGGGCTTATGGCGTGGAGCAAGGGGACCCCTGCAACAGAATTAGCGAAGACGACGCAGAGTGGCAAAGTGTACGAAACGCTCAGAAATATGAAGGTGCAAGGACACGAAAAAGGGTGAAGCGATGGGAGTGTCCTTTCAGATTGAACGGATGGGTCAATTGATAAAGCTAGAAAACCAATGGGAGACGGGTATAATGGATTCGATCGATTTGCACGGATCTACTGATATCTGCGGACACCTCACGGTCTACTTAATTTAGTCTAAGAAGGAACATCATCGGCTCATTATAATCGTTATTTATACAAACGATGTGCCTAACATGCCCTAAATTGGTCTTGAAGGGCGGAGATTTGCAGCAGCGACGTGCTCTGAGTCTGATGCTGTTTAGCTGATATTATAGGGCCCGTTCAACTTCAGGCGTGATTTTCGACGTTTAGGAATTTCCAGTTCACCAATTCCTTACTTCTGCTGTTGTTATCACAAAAGCAGAGTCTGTTGAAACCCTCTGGATGTCCGCTATTTATGTTTTCGACCTCAAAAGTGAGATATCCTGTGTCCATCAACTTATACGAGCCGCATGTATAGTTAACAACTTTTCCCGCTGTGGATTGGGCACCTTGCCCTGCGTACGATGGATAGCATACGTTGACCTTTGCTTTTGTACATCCAGAACCGTTTTTCGCTATAATTTATTTCAACCCAGAATGCTAACGTCTTTTGTTTGTTAACCCTAGAGTTTAGTTAACATTTCACGAGTAATACATTCTTGATAGTTTTTTTATACGACTCGGTGGACAAATGTGGACACGCTGGGTTCTTTTTCATTTTCGGTTATAATGTAGACGATTAGAGCAACTGTTCCGCTTCTTTTGAATCGCGCGTAGTTGATCAACGGACTGTCGTGATTCTCCGTAGCGCCCAAAGCCGATGGCGAATTGTACATCAAGCCAAGTTGCAGTTGTAAGTGTTAGAATGTTGACATTCCAACTAAGACTGGTGAGTGATTTCGTTTTACCGAGATAACAATCTCGGCAAAACGACTATCTATCTGCGCACAGTGTGTCCAACGAATCCGCTCCTTGTCGCTCTCCACGGGATACCTGACCAACCCACACCCTAACTGCTGTGTAACCGGGGCACTCCTAACAGATTAGCCTCGCAATTTGCACAACTAAATGTCATACCTTCATGGGTGGTTGCCTGCCTTTCTCTAATGTTCTTGAAAGTAGGTTCAATTATCTCTACGAATGATGAATGTTTTGACAACCGCATCGATAGCCATGAATGCGCTGAGTTCAAAGGACTGTAACTTCATCAACTTGGGAGAGTTTTGCTTGTCACTTCTGGACACTGACGCAACTACAGGGGCAAAGAAGCGAGATTATTTCAGTAGTGGGGATACTATTAACTTAGCCCATCATCGGGAATAAGGAACGAGAGCTGCGTTGTTCACACCCTAATTCCCTTACCGCAATCTCCCTTCGACTGGAAAATTTCCCTCACTACTTTGTCGATGAGACTGTAACTCTCTCCAGCTTACTGTAGTGAAATTTAGGCTGCGTCGTTGCCACGAGCTGCATGTCTTTATTAAAAACTGCATGTTTATTTAGGAAACAGGAATACAGAAGTTGTCTTCCATAGTAACCTACCCTGTTAAGAATATGGATGCTCGATTTTCACAGATACTGAGCTACACTCGCATGTGTCGACCGATATATGTTTAATGTGTAGTGACATCAGCGGCATTCTCGCAGCAACTGAGTACGTTATCCAGACTGAATTAGTTTGATCGTTTACACCTCACTCTTGATGATGGGTCTTGCAGTTCGTTGTCGTCAGACAAGGGCATTCACGAACAGCATATCCTGATACAAAACTATTAGCAAGCTGTGATGGGTGGGTGTGTCGATTTCACTCACTGTTGTAGGTCTTCTGAGCCAGGCTATGAAGCCATTTTATGAACAATAAACAATGAACAATGAGTTATCACGGGATAAAAGCAAGTGCTTGACACGCCCCGCAGGATGGTTGGGGTGAATACGATGAAAGCAAAATATATATGGGTCATCTACCGAACGTCCACCGAGATGAACACTTTGATAAATGACATCAGTGGGAAAGTAAAAAATCGAGCGTAAACGTCTAGAAATACACTGGGGGGCAGTGACGGTTGATATAAGGCGTGGGAAAAGTAAAATATGGTCGCTCACTTAGGTCCTTTCGATACATAAATCCTGTTGAAAAGCACGCTTGGGTAATCAACAATAGAGCAGTTTAGGTAACAAAATGCTGTCAGTTAAGAGCAACATCTACTCGTTTTTTGAAAAATCCAAGGTAGGAGAGGATGCAACTGAGTCTTGTAGTGCGTTCCAGAGTTGGTAAACCAGAAGGGAAAAGTAATTACCTCGACACTCTGGACGGCTATATTGTTCCTTCAATTTTAAGCAG